TGGCTCTGGTGCAGGTTCGTCGAGGGAGTTGGTGCGAGAAGGCTGCAGCGTGACACAGAAGACATTGAGACCACGATTGTCTTGTTGTTGAAGATCCGTTTCCCAGTAATGATGCCAAGGAGCAAGTGAGACGTTCTTCTTACTGTCGCCAAATGCCTTGCATAGGTGAAAACCATAAAACGGAAATGTCGTCTTTATTTTTTGCGATGCCAAGTAAATTGCTTTTGTCTTCCTTCTTATCGCCCAGGTACAACTCCGTGAGCGTCGTGTTGGCAGTGCTGACGAAGCATGTGCCACTTTCCATCAGCTGCGCTTATGATAATAAGTTGAAGCCGAGCCCCCTGGCGCCAAGAACCTTTTTAAGGTGAAGTGAGACTTTTGTATCGTCAGGCTCGAGTATCACATCTCCGATTCTAGTGGCTTCAATAACTTGGTTGTTGGCAACCGTGATGTTGTATTTCTCTCCTTTTGGCAGGTCTCGCCAATTAAGGAGATAGCGACTTGAAGACGCCATGTGGTGACCGCAGAAGCTGTCAAGAAACCAAGTATTAACGCGTTCGGGATACGTACGCTTGGCGATGTGGGCGTACGGCTGCACGTTCAACCATCGGGGAAACCTGTTCAGCTGCTCTGGTTCTTCTTCATTAATGACAGTTGGATATGGAGTTTCTGAACGAGGACGAAGGCGTGGAGGTAGGTTGGCTGCTACTTCTTCCATGTCACTGTCGCTGTCTTCATTGTCTCGTTGGCTCCAGTAGCGTATACCACTAGACCAGTGTGGTCCAATCATGCAATTAATAAGTGCCTTGCCTTTTGCCGGTTGAGTTGAAGAAGCTGAAGGCGGCGAGATTGTCTTGACAAGGGCGGCTTCACCCGACTTCTCCCGATTCCTGCTCTTCAGTTTCTGACGCTCTTCAATATAATGACCTGCTCACTTGCAGAACCTGCAGAAGCCCTTTCCTCCTTTTCTTGTTTGCTCCCATTGATTTGATGCACCTCTTGTCTCCTCCCTTTGACTTGGTCTACCTATATAGAAGCTTAATCCATTCTTGGATTTGCCTCCTATTGTGTTTTACAGGTCCAAGTCCTACTGCTCTGCCATTAGCGTAGCGCAAAGAGAAGTTTCTGAGATATTCCATTGCGAACGAAGAGGGGACTTGCACTGCCTCCATTCGGGTCCAAGTCCAGCCAGAAGAATAGTGATGAAGAATTTATTGCTGAGATTTCCTCCTCACTCGCTGAGCTGATCTTGAAGTGTGTTACACTTGTTGATGTAGCTGCCGACTTTTTCTCCCGGAAGCATTTGCATTGCTGTAAGTTGACTTAACAACTTGCTTTGTGTTACGGAATCTTGTGCTTAATATAATTTTTGCAAGGAATCCCACTCATAGAAGGCCGTAGGGAGTGAAGGTTTGAAGCACCGAACTCCCAACTGCTCTTCAGGTGAGAGATTCCGCACTAGTAGTGTATAGGCCATATGAGAATACTTGTAATAACGCTCCTGTTCTTCGGTCGTTCCTGTCTCTGGATAACGAATTGAACCGGAGAAATATCCCCAGATACCAGAAGATTGCACGAGGAGTTCGAACTCGAATACCTTAGTATAGAAGTCGCGGCCATCAAAGTAAGTTGAGGTCTTCGGCTTGGAGATGGTTAGAAAATCTGCTTGATTTACGACAGCTTCTGCAGCGAATGGTCTTTCTTCTGCCATTTGATGTTGTTGCTGCAGTGCTTGTTGTTGTTGCTATGGTTGAACAGGTCGCCCATGGAAGACAAAATACCCAGCAGATTCATCTCTAGGGGCTGAAGGCCTAGCGGCAACATCAGCTCTTGCATAACTAGAGTTATCAAGGCTCATAGAAGCTATAGGATGCGCTATAGCTTGTTGTTGTTGCTGAGTAGATTGATTAGCCATCAAGGAAGCGAAGTCAGATAGATCGTCAGTAGATAGACCAGAAGTAGGAGAATTCGTAGTTGAATTTCCTGTCTTAGCTGCTGACGTAATTATAGATCTATGACTTAAGCTTAAGCGCGTAATCGAAATCAGCTTGTATCGGCTCCTGCAACTCCACTAGCTCAGAATACCATGTAAAAGTGAACCACACGTTTACGGTGGCCAGGATCTAGAGTTGGTGGACCCACGAGTAAAAGTCAGCGGAAGAATTTACGCCTTATATTGGAAATGTCAGAAATGACAATGATAATACTAATAGA